ACATCCAGCTGAACGTGTGCAGGAGTTCCACACTTCAGTGGCCACAGGTGGGGAGGACCTGGAGCTCCAGGATCCAGGAGTGTAACAGATAGGACATCAGCTGCTGGCGATGCCACAGGGTGGCGCCAGGGCTGGGCAGGATTTCTGCCCGACAGCTGCATTTGGGCTTAGATGAGCTTCCCTCTCGGTGCACCACCTGAGGAAGAGGGTGGCACAGTTAGAGCGCCCCCATGAGCACAGCACTGGGAGCATCTGGGAAGCTGCACCCCACCTGTTTCCAGAGGTGGTCAGCGAGGGACACTGCGGACAGGAGGACATCGGTGGACACGTGCTCCTTCATACACTCTGGGATCTCACAAATCTTCATGAGGACATCCTGCAGATATAAAGTAACAGCAAACGAGCATGAACATAGTTTGTTCCTGAACACTACTGTACATTAACACTGTACTGAGAATTAGGGTTAATACAGTACAGTATAAATACAGTGACTGAACATTAACACTGTAATGAGAGGGTTCATACAGTACAATACAGATACAGTAACTGCCACTAGTTTACATTGACACCATATTAAGCGATTGACATTATAATAGATTTACCATGCCCTTGAGTGTTAACAATGCTCTAATAACACAGGAATTGTTCTGTACTTACAAGGTGTCTTCTGTCATGTATCAGTGGCGTGGAATCAACCTGAAGAGGTAAGACACACAAGGGGAGTTCATTAACAATGCAAAGAAATACATACAGTATATATGATTTGCTTTTTTTTGTGTTAATTATTAGGGCCCAAAAGCTCTTTACACCTAGTAGTTCAGTATATACTGAGCTTACGCATCATAACCCCAAGCATCCACACCTGTACAGCCAGCTTGCTCCTCTCCTCCAACAGCTTTGACTGCAGTATCTCCTTCAGTCTCAGGGTGTCTCTGTCCCTCTCAGCACAGGGGGGTGGCATGCAGCCTATCGCTGTCAGCCACAGCAGCCACAAAAGAATAGCTCTTTGCCCATAATGCACTGCAAAAACATGAATTTTTTGAGTGTGCTAAGGTTCAGCAAAAGGGACAAATTCCAGAAAAAGCCAGACGGACAGTGAGTACACAAGGAGGAATCCTTCTATCATTGTCAGAAGGATCGTAAATCATGTCACACATGGCCTGCAAAGACAGGACTGAGTGCAAAGTGTCACCTGAGGCTCATGGTTCTTACTTGTTCCAGTGACCGCACTTTCTGAGTGTTCCTCTGACTCTTGCCTGGACTAGATGGTTCGTCGTTTGGACTTTTTGCGACTCCTTTAGACTCTGGGAAACCCAATGTAGACTTGTCCTCTAGGCTCTGTGACTTCTCATCTGGACTATGAGTCTTCACTCGCTCTTTGACTCCTGGTTCGGACTCCTTGGATGGACCCAGTGATTCATCTACGGTGTGCCAGTTCGAGCTCCTGTGCTCCCGCTTGCTGTGCTCTTCAAAAGGACCATGTTGAGCTGAGCCCTACATTCTGTATATATAGTTACCTGGAGGTCCCTGTGGGTGATGGGGCTCTTTCCCTCCTATTTATGACTTGACGTCTTCTCAGAAAAGCCTCGGTGACTACCCAACATTCTGTAGAATTCATGCTGCTGGGAGACGGGAAAAGAAACGGTAATATGACCACCCCCGTTGCCTTCTGGAGTTTCCTCCACCCTCTGCCCTCTGGGTCATTGAATCATTTTATGGTCTCAATGGGCCAGCTTTGACATTGTTGAGGACACAGTGAAGAACCTTCTGGATGTTTATCGGCAGGGTTGCTAATTTTGGTCAGCTGGCCGGCGTGAGATTTTCAATCCAAGACAAGTCTGCAGACACACGTACACCCATTTACATGTAACAGTTCCGTGGTTCACCTTGTGAATTGCTTGTAGGGTTTGCAAACTACTGCCAACGCTTGTGATGTAGCTGATCTTAGGTTTATAATGGAAAAATATAGATTTGCTGTAAGATTTCTTGCATGACCGTGAGAGTCTAAAAGTGCGTGTCACACCAAATGTGTGAGAGTTGGCCATCTTGTTTGTCAGTGCTTTACTATCTCATATAAATCCAGAGCCGATCTTGTAGGAGAACACCTGACATTAATCAAAGGCATCATTATAAAGTAATGAGAACAATATAAACGATTCCTCACAAGAAGAAGGGGCTAAGAAGCCAGAAACATTAAAACACTCTCATTACAGCAACAAAACACTATTGCCTGCAGAGCGCATTCATTATTTCCTTTAAAATGGATAGCTGTGGTTCTGGATGTTGGCTGACATGTTTAAAGCCGTGCTGTATCGCCTGGTAAAATATCACTCGTGAAAAGTGGCCTTTCCTACTGCGAATGTCCATGCCCAGATTAAAGGGACAAAGCTAACGTGGCTGCTGACCTCATACGCTGAGACATTTTCCCTCAGATGCCATCCCAATGACCTTTATTCCTCTCCTTCACTATCTTCTGATAATGAGGCTAAATATACACTGTTGTGAGGGGCCATCTATTGAATAAATCGTTTTATAAATCAACTGACCAGTTTTTCATGACCGACTGGAAATGCAATTTCTTCATGTTTTAATAATGACAAACACATCAATCATCTTGTAAAAGTTATTCCATGGAATGGACAGCACTATGAAGTTTAATTCCCTGTCAATCTCTGACTGGAAGAATACGGACTTATGTGGAATCACGGATGTAAGCGTGGGGGCAACACATATAACGGTAAATGTGAATGGGGTGAGAGGAATGTGACAAAGCCGAGATTTGCTCTCAAAACACTGTAACTGCATAATTTGTTTCTGTAGTATAGCCCAAAGCAAAGCAAATCAAATCAAATAAAAAACTTTATTTGTCCCCAAGGGGCAATTTGAGGCACGTAGAGCAGTGTTGTATAGACACAAGAGCATTCCTCCATGCTGACCCCACCTCCCAGGAATCTGGCCCAGACTCCCCGTCAATCAAGTTCCAGCATTTTCCATACAGCGGGGCCAGGGAGCTCTTAGGAAGCAGTTGGATTTCATTCCTCTGTGATTCAGTTCCGTGGTTCACTCCTGTGTCAGCTTCCTGAGGCTGAGGTTTCACGCACGGTTCTGCCATACATGGCTTTATCCACAGTATGACTGAACGTATTTAGGCCTACAGAAACTTATGAGGACAGTACTGTACGGTATAAACGGTATAAATTTGGCCAACGATTTATTTTGATTATACCACCCTACCGCAGAAATTTCCGTAATCAAGTCACGTCAAATAATAAATTATGTATTATTTATATGAAAATTAATTATATGATTATTGCTGCACCTGGCAGCAGAGTCCTACACGGGTCTGATTTTGACAAACCGCACCCGCCCGTACCCGTCATACTTAAACCCGTATCCGAACCGTTATCCGTCAGAAATGAAATAAAATTCCGCACCCGATCCGACCCGCTTTAAATAAATACCGACACCCGACCCGCACCCGAATGAAAATCAGTCAGATAGCCAAAATTAAAGACAAAAGTTTATTGGCACAACAAACGACAAGGCATAGCCAAATGTAAATGTTGCTTAATAACAGCCTAATAATAAGCAAAACAAACAGTAGTAGCTTACCTCCAAACTCAAATAATGTTTGATATTGCCATGCCCACACAAAGCCTCACCAAATCACAAAGCCTTATCAAATCTTACCTAATCAAATAATGTTTGATATTGCCATGCCCACACAAAGCCTCACCAAATCACAAAGCCTTATCAAATCTTACCTAAGGTGGCTTATCAAATCTGGCCTCCTAATCATCCCCTTTACCAGCTTACAATCAAATGTGTTAAAACTAATATTATATAAAATGTACATTAGGCTACCCTGCACATTATTAGGTTTTATAGGCTACCTACATGCACTGTCCATTTTCCTTTGATTACCCGATTGGAATTCCTACGCGAAGGCGAAGACTAGTATTTGGTGCGGTGCTTTATATTACAGTGTAAAGAAAGGATATCGTCTACATTTAATGGCCTCAGCTGACTCCTTCCCAGCAAACAGCAAGTCGTCCTTAGGTCGTCCATAGGACGTCCTCTTTTGGTCCGGATCTTGTC